TTTTTTTCCATCCGCATGATGCAGCGGAGCAACAAGCAGTTCTGTCTGAACATTTTACTAAACATTGAGACCAACATTTGWCCCGAAGGATCCGTCAGAAATCCGACCAGAGTTCGAGCAGCGGGAGTGAAAAAGTTCATTTTTGGACGTTTTGCGGCCGAAGTTTGACGCAGCTTTTCTCCGGACACCAGGGAGAAAAAAAGAGTTGGAGGGTCGTGATGGAAGTGTTTCCTGGAGAAAAATGAGATATTTCCCCATTTTAAACTCGGAAGGTTTGAGGATGAGGAAAGTCGGGAGGGAGAGTAATTTAAAGTTTTCCAGATGTCTGTTTTGATGCGGGCTGAAACTCTTTTTACTCAGATAAAGAAAAGTTTCTGCTTTTCTGCAGCATCGCTGGATTTAAWTTTTTTCTCTTTGGATTCATACAGAAAACACCCAAACCTTTAGGGATAACGGGATTAATTTTATTCTGAACTCATCTTTGGGATATGATTGGACCCCTTTGGAGACAAAACAAAGCAGAAAAAAGTCAATATTTGTTATAAAAATGATAATTGGGTGAAATTCTTCTGAAACTCAAAACAAGGGAAGCCCAACGATGGGCACACAGCCAACACTCACTGACAGGTAGGTGAAAATAGGCAAGAATTTATATTTTAATTTATTTTTGTAAGTTTCTTCTTTCTAACTTTTCATCAATGTTAACACACAGAGCTTAAATATCGATTATTTTTTATCAACTAATCACATGTAAATGTCATCTTTTCTCTGTAAAAATCTCATATTTTAATGTTTAATTTGGTACATACATTAAAACTGTAAATGTCACACTACAGACAAAAGTTTGTCCTGAGAAAATAGCTGCTAAAATACTAGTTTAATGAAGAATTCTGATTTTTTTGCAATGAGTTTCTAAAAAATGTAAACAGTCAATATCTTACCTGCTTTGGGTAGGTTTTTATATAACCTCCGTTTGGAGACTTTAATTCTGACCAGCTATTTGTTGCTGTCATATTAAACAACTCCAGCTTACCTTTTTTATAGCAGCTCATGTAAATGTCGTTTTTAAAAACCTTGCACAGATTATTTAAGAGCATGTTTTAGAAACAAATAGCAGCTATAAAGAGGGTTAAAACCGCATTAACAATAAAGTCAAACCAATGATTCAGTGTATAATTTAAAAAAGTAGTAAAAACTGCACCCTAACTATATTATTATTATTATTTATTATTATTATTATTATGTTTAGTAACAGACTTTTCTCTGAGGCAGCGTCAAAAAAGCACAAGCGACTTCATCTGAAACTCAAAGAAAGTCATCTGATTACTTGACCTTCAGCCTGCAGAAAGGAGCAGGTCTGTTTCTGTTCTGCTCCTCCTAAAACAATGAGTCTGTTCATGATTTTTTTTATTTGAATTTCCACATAAAAATCATGAATTTTTCCAGTTTGTCTCCAAATCTGCTCAAACGGGGCGACCAAGCCCCAAATTGGTCTTGTTGCAATGATCTTTGTGTCATTCAAATAAATAAATAAATAAATTAAAATAATGTGCATACAAAATAACATATCAAGATTTTAATAAAGAAAGAACTTGGTTATTAGCCTAGCTTAGCATAAAGGCATAAGCTGGAAAAAAAGAACATTGGTTGAATAATGTTTAAACAACACTGTTTATTTCAGTGATAGTTTATTTTTTATTTTTTGTAGAAAACAAATGCCTCAGTGCTAAGCTAGGCTAACAACCTACCTTTTATGAGTTATTCCCTTTGAGCACTAAATACTACAATTTGTTAATTATTTATTCAATATTCTATTCAATATGATGTTTTTCCAGTGTTAATATTAATAATAATAAAGCCCCCCACCCCGAAAGGCAGTAAAATTACATTTTAATAATTATAATTCTTTACCATGGAAAGTAGCAACATATCTTAAAGTCTTTATGCTCTTTTTAAAAACTATAAAGTAACATATCTGCAGTGTTTGTTTTTATTAAGGAAACTATAAAACGGACATCCTGTTTACCACTTCTATGTGAATTCTACAGATTATTCGCCATGCTTGTGTGTTAAACGGGGCGCTGTTGCTGAGTTACACTCAGTGCCAACTCCAGCAGTGATGAGGTCACATCTTGGACGATGTTCAAGCGCTTCTACAAGAGGAGAATTTAATTTGAGCTGCCTTTAGGGTTTCTAATTTACTGTTCGTATGTGGCGCGTTCACCTGCCTGCCTTGTCTTAAAGGGCAGGATGAACTCTATGTTTTCTGGTGAATAACAGWATCATGGTTGTCAGAATAATGATGATGTCACACGCAGCAGTAAACATGGATGCTACATGTTAGCATGGTTGGGTCGGATATCCCAGCGTGTGTGGCGTTCCTCGATAMCAAACGAGCTTGCGGCCCATTGAATGTGACGTGTAGCCAATCAGAAAGAGAGGTGAYGGGAACATAGAGGGGCGTTCAAAATACAGAAGACAAACAAAGTGACATGGAGCTCCAGAAACTCCACTGGGTTTCTTTTTGTTTTGTATTTTCTCTGTTAAAAATTGCCCACAAACTCTCGCCATTGCTTCTTCCTCGTCAGCCATGTTTATTTACTCTGAGCTCACGTTTGATCTCGAGATATCGCGAGATTTCCCGTCCAACATCTGAACGTTGAACAGGTTTAGAAAATCGACCTACAATTTAAAAATCTTGCAGTGTGAACCAGGCCCAACAGAGAGGCCCGCCTTTACCTGCACAGCTGCATGAACACCTCATGTCCCTGAGCTGCAGGATCTGTCTCTATGTTTCCTCCTTCAGTCTGAAAACTAATAAAGGATTAAAACTGCATGAAAACACATCAATATGTCCTGCTGTGTTCCTGCAGAGAGAACGAAGAGGCGGAAGGAAGAAGTCAGGTTGAGGCCGTAATCACATTTCTTACAGAGACCGTTTTGCTCGGTCGCGTCCAGTTTTGACCACCCCCTTCCCCCTCCCTCCACCACCCCTCCCAGCCCAGTGGTAATGACAGGAAGTAGTGACATCACAGCTGAACAATGTCCACAAGGGTCATCAGATCCCTGGCCCTTCCTGCCAGCCACACAGAGCTCAGACAGCACAGACTTCTGCCTTAAAGTGTGAAATATTTCAGGATGAGACAGAGCTACATATATAAACAAAAACTCAACATCAACCCCTTAATATCCTGCTAGTTTGTCTGGTTACAGTTTATAAATTAACCATTAGCACACTGGGGGCATGGAAGTAACTACAGTTTTAGTAATTTTTTGGCTCAGAGGAGTATGAGTTTTGGGAAACAGTTCAGCAACGATCCAAATCTTTTTAGCGACTCTTTCAAACAACAAGCAACACGGCTGAGCTCATGAGGCCTCCTGAGTCGTTTTGACCCAAGGGCAGCAGGAGGGTTTGTGTTTTTAGCTCGTTAGTAACGCTGAACTTCACAGGCTTACATTGAATTTAGACTCTCATCATGAAGTTATTACAGGAATAATTAACCTTCAGGACTGAGTGTTCATTTATAGTTGGTGTTTTAATCTTACCAGTGGTTATTCTCTGTAATGAAAAGTTATTTTTAGTAGATGTATAAAGACAAGGTGACAGCGTTGACGTAACCAAACTATTGTTTTAARCTTGAATAATCTTTGTCCTTTTAAACCTCAGAACTACTGACAAAAAGTTTCACATTGATGACTTTAAAATAATCAAACTTTTAAAACGGTGACACCTTTAGAGTAAATTTCAGTCATGAATTATACAGTATATATGTTTTTACAAAAATCTTCAAAATTTAAACTTTGATATTATCAAACTAAGTTAGAAAAATCAACAAGGATTAAAATAGGTTTCTCTAAATATGCCGCAAAAGCAGAATCATTAAAAGTTGCAACACAAGTTAACAGAACTCCTTACAAACTACGAAACCAAACATTTAAAGTTTAGACTTCATCCATAAAAAAAAGGAAAAAAAGGAAGTTTAGATTTAATTCAATCGTTTACTTTTGTCATTTTCCAGATATTCAAATCTGAAACGTGGGTCTACACTTAATGTAAACAAAACTCTTTTATCTGCGTACTTTACTCAACAGATCTGAAATCTGAGTGAATATATTAAAACAGTTGAACTTCTCAACCCCAAAAGGCTCTACGTACCATCCTCGGTTATTTTCAATCACTTCGGCTGTATTCGTATGTAAACAAACCCACATGGCAGTCGTCAGGCGTTCACAATCTCTCCTGATAAATTTTAAATTTAAGGACACCTTAATCTATAATAGGAGTAAAATAAACYGTGCAGACTTTTACTGGTCTTTATAGCGTTACAATGTCTACTTTTAATTTGTTAAAACTACACCCTGCTTTCTTAATATTTTCCTATATTTGGAGTTTGTTGGACTCTGCAGCCGTTCTGGAGCTGTAGTCCTTCGCCTTTATCATCCCGGAGGAATTGTCTGGTATTTTTGGCTTCTGAGGCAGAGAGCAAGCAAACAAAGAAGAAATTAGAGCAGCAGCAGATATGACAGCAGACTGGCACCAACAACAGATTCTTTTATTTATTTAAATCAGAGAACCGGTAAACTGATCACGTGTTGCTAATGGATCTGATCTGAACCCTATCATCTTGAATTTATTTGAAATAAATCAGGATTTAACTTCTATTATTTTGATATCACTGTAAAATATCCAAATATGTGAAAGTAAATCTGATAAATTCATATTTTAAAATGTTTAGCTCATTCAGGAAATTATATATATATAAAAAACATTTTCATCATAGAAACGCATCTCGGTTCTTCAAAAACATATCTTTAAAATACATTTATCCTTTTATTCCAAATTAATTTGACACAAAACGTGAGTTTTAATAGACAATATAAAAAGTGTCCTAAACCTAAAATCTCACTGCTGCCCACTAAGCAGGATGTCGGCTGTTCTCCTATCTCTTCATCTTATCAAGTAGCTAAAAGGAGCTTCAACAAAATGAGCCTTCGTGTTTCAAGGTTCTCCTCTTCATCACGACGTACGGTTCCGTCTCTTTGTTTGCAGCTGTGAGACTAAACTCCAGACTAAACACCAGCCGAATGTTTAGTCTCCGTCCAGTCTCCCTGAATCTTCAACTTTTAATTTATTTCCTCCACTTTTCCTTCATTCAGGCAAGATTTCTTCACTCTGCTGGATCTGACCTAAGCCTATCCTCCTCCTCCTCCTCCTCCTGGTTTTTTATTTTGTTATTTTTGCAGCCTCTTATTTTCAGGAAGCCGAAGCCGAGCCAATAAAGGCCCCAGTTGCCGTCGCCGTTTCCGGGAATCTGTCCCACAAAGCCACTGTAGTAAGAGGGCTCTGACGTTGGGGGGCCATTGTTTAAGGTCCCRGGGCCCCCATTGTTCAAGGAGGAGCAGCAAGACAAACAAAATCCCCTCTTTTAGAGCGAGGAGGAGGAGCTGCGAAGGGGAATGAGGAGAGAGGGAACCATGGCTGCTGCTAATATTTGAACCAGACCACCTTAAAGTGCTGCTTTCACAGAATCACTGAACCAGTGTGAGAGAACAGAGAGCATTATGGGACGATTTTATGAATCATTATAAAAACATTTAATTTGTGGAGGCAGAGCTTAACTTCATCTTTGACGACAAACTTTTCAGTGCTTTTAGTCCTGAAAGTGTCTCTGGTTAAATATATAAATAAATAGTTTGATTTACAATGAATAAAACATGTTTGATTCATGAAAATGATTTAATTTAAACTTCTAAACAATCMCCTCTTGTCTCTGCAGGACTCCGAGCATTCTCAACAAGGACCTGACAGACAAAAAGCCAAAGAATGGAAAACCCTCCATCTCCCTCAAACACGAGTTTGACCCGACAGGTGAGACATTTATTTACCTGCTGCTGTAAAAAAAAACAAACAAACAAACACTCTATTTAATAACCTTCATTTTCTGATGATTTTTGTGCTTTATTTTTGTAAAGCCATACTTTATTTGTCATTTAGCTATAGAGAAAATTAATTTTCTTTAAAAATTCTATGTGAACAATGACAGACGCTCCAGAAACAAGGTTGTTAAAGCTAAAAARGCAGAAAACTAGCTTAAAGCTAAATGAGGCTAACCATTAGCTAAAAGATAATAAAGCAAAAACAAGAAGTAAAATGAGCAAATTAGCRATTATTAAAACTATAGTTAAGAGAAGCAAAATACCAGCCAAAAGCTAAAAGTAGCAATACAGTATTTAGAAGCTGAAAGTAGCTGAAGACTAGCAGAAAGTCAAAGGTAGCAAAAGACTGGTTAAAAACTAAAAGTATTGAAATGGTAGCTGGAAAAGACTAGTAAAAAGCCAAATGGTTAACTTAAAGTAGCAAAAATCTATTTAAAGCTAAAAATAGCTAAAGACAAACTAAAAGCTAAAGATGGAAAAAGTAGCTAAAAGGAGCAAAGACTAGCAATAAGCCAAATGTAGCAAAAGGTTTGCAGACAATAGCAAATGGCTAGCTCAAGGATTAAAGTAGCTAAAGGCCAGAGTTGTAGAGTAACTAAGTACAAATACTTTGTTACTGTACTTAAGTAGATTTTTTGGGTATCKGTACTTTACTTGAGTAATTATTTTTTAGCCTACTCTTTACTTCTACTCCTTACATCTTAATGGTCTGTGGGAGGAAGCCGGAGTACCTGGAGAGAACCCACGCATGCATGGAGAGAACATTAAAGTACAAAAAATATCAGATACTTTTAGACTTTTACTCAAGTAATATTCCTAAAGGAGACTTTAAATTTTACCAAAGTAATTTTTTGGTAACATGCTTGTACTTTTACTCACGTATCACTTTGTGGTACTTTATACAACACTGCTAAAGGCTAACTAAAATCTAAAAGGAGCAAAAAGTAGCTAGAAGCTAAAAGGTGTAAAAGACTAGCAACAATTCAGYTGTAGCAAATGGTTAGCTGAAAGTAGCAAAAAACTATCTCAAAGCTAAACATATCTAAAATGCTAAAAGGAGCAGAACCATAGCTAAAAGCTAAAGGATGTACAGGAACACAAAAACAGAGCAGATACGTTGAAGCAGATTTTAAAGATGTTTCTGAAGGAATTTAGATGATCAGGGTGTATTTCTACAAGGAAAACATTAGATTTTTATTTTTAACCCTGATTCAGCCATCATTCTCTGTTTTTAATGAATCTGTTAGAGTTTTCCTCTGAAGTCGTTGCTCGGGCACACGGGGACAGTGTAGGTGTTGTTGGGTCGGTTGCCACGGTTCCAGGCTTGACATTAATCCTTGCTGCCCTTTTGTTCACCCTGGAGTCCTGAAGCTTCTCATGGAGCCCAGAAGACAACCAGTTATCCACTCGGCTGCACTCGGCTTCCTGAGATCGTTCTCTCAGRAGAAAAAAAGCACTCAGCTTCTTCTTTAGCCGCAGAAAGATTGAGCTCCTTAACGAGTTCTGCTGATTGATCCGTTTGTTGAAGATTTCAGGATGTTGGTAAAGTTTGTTTTTTGTGCTCCGGACACGTTAAATTACAGTTTGATTTCTGCCTGCTTGATATTTTAGAAAATATCCCAGAGGTTGAAGAGTGCAGCAGCCTAGCTCTCATGATTCATCCGTTCCATCATCACTGATTCATACTTTCTGCTGCAGAAAATAATCYTCAGAAAGTTTCCTGCCGTGTGAGCTTGTCTGAACCTCACATTTAAAGGAATATGCAACAGTACTGGGATTGTTGGCTGCAGTCGTTTTTCCATTTTACGTCCAGATAAACTAAAACTCCTGTTAAAATCTGAAAGCAGTTTAAGATGAGTTCTTCTAAAACACTTAGCTRCATTTTCACTGTGYTGGGKATGTTTTTGTTGCCTAAAAATTACRYTTTTGCAAATAAAATTGTTTTTATGTTGTATAAAATTATYAATCTTTATCTGTTTTGACAAATTKGCTGCGTAACTGAACAGGGTTCAGTAAAACAAAACAATTCAAGATGTCCGCGACAGCTAAGCTAACTTAGCAAAMACACACRGAGCAAATGTTTWGAACTTTGTCATTACTGMGCAAAATTCAGTGTGGTAGTAACTGAGAGTMGTACCCAGTTATTCAGCTGGTGGCTGGGGGGCCACATCTTGCTTGCAGCTGAGCACAATCTGGCCCTACAGTTGTTATATTTATATCAGAGAGGTAATCCTGTTGTAAAGATAAAATATAGATGATTAAATTTACAAAGTAATTTAATTAATTTACTATTAAAATCGGATGTCCGACACCTGTTGGAGAAAAGACCATCTTCACACTCATCAACAAACCGCTCCAGAACTACTAGACGAATTTTAATAAAACTCTCAGCTAATAACCTGGTTTATTTACCAAACTGACTCAGCCCCCTCTCATCATTAAGGCTTGTCTATTCAAATGAAAAAGAGCAATGCATTCCTCTGCCTCCATTCATTTGAAATTATTATCCACCTCTAAAAAGGATCTATTTATTTATATCTTACTCTTCCAACAACTTTAATTCGGCCCAAACAGTAAAGTGTACTCACACACTCAGTCTGTGTTTTTGTCGTTTCCTGTATGGAGACGTTTTCCCACAAAGTGAACGTACCAAACTGCATGCAAAAGAAGCTAAATGTCTTTTCTTTTGTAAAGCTAAAYAAACTTTATTTTGCTCCTGAGTGTGTTTCATCTAATAAAACATTAAACGGCAGGTCTGGTTCAGCGCTGTGTGATAATCCAAAGAGATGAAAATGGTTTTGGTCTGACGGTTAGTGGAGACAACCCYGTGTTTGTGCAGCTGGTCAAAGAAGGTAAGACTCTACATCACACACGTTACCACAACACACCCTGACAAACAACCTCCCTGACTCTCTTTCCTGTCCTGGTACAGATGGAGCCGCGATGCGAGCCGGTGTCCAGACAGGAGACAGAATCGTTAAGGTTCGTTTTRTGTCTTTAAGAGCGCTGCGAGTGTCCAAGCTGCCTCAAGACTGATCCGTTTAACACTTCCAGCTCTAAAGCTCYGAGTTTAAATGAGTCCCAGACTCAACCAACAGTGAAAATATATAATTTATTACTACAGCTACTGATAACTTTTCCTTCATGAGGCAGCCATGTTGGAATTTAAAGGCAGGGTTTGTGACACATTTGATTATTTTTTAAGTTTGGTTTTGTAAATGTAAAAGTTATTTACTGATGTTTTTTTTTACACTTGGGACAGGTTAATGGGAGGTTAGTTACCCATTCAAACCACAAAGAGGTTGTGGAATTAATCAAGTGTAAGTATTTACCTCTTAAATATCCKATTTTATGCTAGGAAACATAAATACTTTGGAAATGTGGCTAAAGCTTTTGGCTAGTTTTTGAYACTTTCAGCATCTAGTTAATGTTATGGTACTTTGGTCTTTTAGCTAGTCTTTTATTACTTTATGCAACTAGCCTGCTTGCTGTTTGCTACATTTATCTTTTAGCTTTTCTTTTTCTTAAGTTACTTAACATTTTGCTATTCTTACCTGTTGTTTTGCCACTTTTGGCTTTTTCCTAGTGGTTTGATCAGTTTAAATTTTAGCTAGCTTTTTGCTACAATCAAGTGTTTTATTATTTTAACTTTTAGCTACTTTTTTCCCCACTTGTAGCATCTAGTTCGTCATTTGCTAGATTTATCGTTTAGCTCATCTTTTTCTACAGTTTCTTAGCATTTTTCTACCTTTAACTGGTGTTTTACCTCCTCAGACTTTTAGCAAGCATTTTTCTCTTTTGCTGTCTTTTCGCTGTTCCAGTTCTTTTCTAGCTAGTTTCTTTTAAGGTAGCGTTCGGCTTTAGTTTTAGTTTAACAACTTATTTTAAAGCTCCTAATATTGGAGTTGTTTATTATTTTTAACTTGCTGTTATTGTTTTCTTTCTTTCCCTCCTTTTTTACTTTTTTTTCTTGCAGCCGGTTCCTATGTAGCCCTGACGGTCTTGGGGAGACCTCCAGGACTTCCTCAGATTCCCCTGGATGAGAAGGAAGAGCAGGAGGAAGAGGAGGAGGAGGAAGAGGCAGACACGCCTCCTTTTCTTTCAGCTCCAAACTCACCTGCCCTCTCAGGTGAAGATCAGTCCTGCTTCTTGAGCAGCAGCAGCACACCCTGCAGCCCTCATAACCACATCGCCTGCTCCTCATCGGACGGGGTAAGACTCTGAAGTAGTACTGAGATACTGGGAAATACTTAGTAGTAGTATTTACAGGGGAAAGTATTTCACCCTAAAACATTTACCAGGTTGTCTTTAGTAAAGCTGAGGTTGTTTGTTTCAGGATGCAGCTTCATGGTTGAGGAACGGTGAGGATGAGGAGGGTGATGGTGTGTCGTCCCTGAAGGAACAGTACCCACCTTTAGGTTCTGAGGGTGGGCACTCGATCAACAACAACGCTGTGAGTATATCCACTCAGCGAGACTCCTAGTGTGATATTTTGTGTTTTTATGTTTTTGCTTGTGTTTTTCTGTCTGTTAGAAAAATAACTCATGATCCACAACCATCACTGGATGTATATCTACACCTAAATAACATTTTAAATCAATCCAGTTCATAATAAAACATCCACTTTGTTTGATTTATTGAGCTAAAATCTGGTTTGGTGTTAGCCGAGAGCGATCCTCGACATATACTGAATGCTCAAGGCTAATTCAAGATGGCCACCATAGCTAATTTTAAAGGGATCCATGATTAGTTGTAACATTAGACTTTATTTGATAAACATATATTTTAACTGTAAAATAAAGACTATAAAAATACTGTAGGCTGTTTAGTTTTTATAATT